CTTAAATCTGAAAACCTCTGGGTGTCAGAGGAAGCCCAGGCTCTGCAGGGACAAGGAAAAGGCCTTGGCTTCTTGTAGCTGTCCCTGACTACACTTCAGGGGCTCTTAATACCCTTGTCTTTCAGGACAAGTGATAAAAGTGATAGGTAAAACAACACAGTGTATGAACAGAGATTACATACCCCCATAATACACCTCTGTTCCAGGTCAGCTCTGTGATGTGTTTTGAGATGTCCTCCACAGCCCCCACCCCAAAGCCCAAACTGCTATTCTTCTTGAAAGTCTTGAATCTCTCCTCATTTTGTTGTTTTATCAGGTCACAAGCTGCTTTGCTTATCAACAGAAAGTAACATTCCTCAATAATCCATTTTATTTTGGGTTTAATTTAGTTTGATCTTCCAACAGCTCCAAAGAGCTCAATCTTACAAGAGACTGCTCTATCTCTCAAAATCGGAGTGAGGTCTGCTATGTCATCAAGCTTGCAAAATTACAGTTTGATTGTGGATACTGACAGCCTGGCCAGAGAGAGAAAGCCAGATAAACTTTCCCAGGAATTGTTCTGGGGAGTTTTGAGAAGGCTGAGAGAACGACTTAAAACAATCTTGCAGCTGGTGTTTTGTTTCTCATGCTTACCAAAGGGTGTTTTCCTAATTAGTCAATGGTGACAGGGTGTTGATTAAAGGACCAATCAGGTCCACCCTGTCAGAACAGTGAATAAAAAGGAATGAGTTTCTAATAAACTGGAGTATTAGCCTTCTGGAGACCTAGAGTCTATGTGTCATTCATTCATCTGTTCCTGAGTCAATGGTGACACGTTTTGTAGTTGAATTTTTTAATAACAACTATTTATTTGGCATGGGAGAAATTATAGAATTAGAGAGATGAGCAATGTTTTCTTATCTGTTATGGTGACAGAAACTGCATAGGCTGAGCATTTGTATATCAGAATATGGTAAATTCCATACTGATTTACAACAGAGTAAATCATTATCATTATTGCTACTTGGAGCACCTATGGATTTTGGAAGTGTTATGCCCCCATACAGATAGTCTATCAGTATACTGTGCAAGGAACTGGAGTTTGCGTGTGAAACATCTGACTCCAAGAAAGTGAAAGTTTTGGATTTTTTGGATAGCTAAGGTCTCACCCCACTTTCCTATTCTCATTATTATAGACTAAGACAGTGGCAGAGCCAGGCTAACTCCATATGCATATTAATACAGGGCTGTCCTATGAAAGCATCACACAAATAGGAACATCCTGCAGAATTAGCCAGAAAGAAAAAATGTTGCACGGAAGTGCCACAAAGTCCTTGAAGCAGCATTCCAAAAAATTCTGTTGAGTTTTTTTAGGGATTAAGAGGCTGCAGAGCCTCTTTTGATGACTGACTAGTACAGATGAAATGTTAAGTCATGTATCCTCTTGGTTTCTTAGCTTTCCTCACAATCAGCTGTTAAGAACTCCCACCTCACAAGCACACTGAGAAACTAAACTGATTTTTCAAGTATGTGCTGGTCACAGAACTGAAGGTGTGTGTGCATGGCAAGTTAGTTCACATGAGCTGAATATGAGCAACATGACTTTTTCTTCCACAAAAAATGCCCAGCAGCTGCACTCAGCTTGTGTCAACACAAATTCCAGAGAGGTTGGGATTTCCTTTGTTGTAGCTTGTAGAGATCTACAAGAGTTAACATTACAAAAATTAATGGTTAAGCAAGAAACACCTGACATAGAGGACAGTGAGATAAAAACCTCTGGTTACTGATTTGAGAACATGTCCTGTAAATAGGTTAAACACTGATTCCTGTGCAGCTGCTTCTGAACAGTGTGAGCATATGTAGCTCCAGGCACTGCTTAACTCAAACTGAGGCTCTGGACTCAAGATTTTTGTTCTTTTTTTGTTCTGGGGAAACAGCTCACAGCTTCAGGCACTTAGGTTCCAAAAACTCAGGCCAACTCAAATAAAACACACAAAAAACTCCCCAAAACAGAAAAGAGGAAAAGGAGAACCGGCCATCCTGCAAAGTGAACTAAAGCCACAGTCCGTTGGGTATCTCCTAAACAGGGTTATCAACAGACATCTTTGAAACTCAAAAAAAAAAAGAGCTGTGTTTAAATAACTCTATTAATTATACTTCTCAAGACTCTTCCTGCTCCCATTTTAACCAAGTTTTCTTTTGCAATAAACCCCAGAAACCTAGACATTTAACTACCATCTTCCAAGACAACACTATTATTGTAATATAGCAAAAACAGATCTAGAGAGCTAATAATAACACATAACCTATGTTTTCTTGAGCAAAAAGAATAACTTCATAATATATTGCTCACAGTAAAAGATGAATAAGTTTCCAATTTTTTGTTGCAGTATTAATTACTGAGGTGAGAGGATTAAAGCAATCATTTGAGATTAAGATTCTTCTGAATCACAGAGAAGACAGAACACATATCCTGAATAAACAAATTATTGTACAGGCAGTAAAATGAGCAAGAAGTCTTTAGTGATGCCTGCCTCTAAGAGTTGTCCATATGACTCCTTGTATGCAGGCTCGGGGGAGAACAACTGATGGCAGAGTGATTATTTCAAATTCCCATTTTATTATTCTGCAGCCTTTCCTGGAACAAGGGGATATTAACTATTCCATCTCTTCTCTATGCTGCAGAGTAATTAGGCTTCACATCACCATGTAATTTATATGTAATTAATAATTTTTTATTGCAAAAGCTTATTTGATCTGAAATGCTTAGAAGTGGCATGCTGAAGAGAAAGGACTTAGTGTATTACTGCTGGGGGAATTACACATTTCAAGTAATTGATGTAAAATAAAACTGCCATCTAGAAAGCAATGCAATAACCATGGATTCTCATAGATGAAAGACCAAGGTGAGAGCTCTGCCTCTTTCAGTGAGAGTATTTCCACTAATTTTGGTGGATTCTGCCATTTTCCTGTGCAGATCAGTACAGAGCCCTCAACAGGGTAGCACAAACCCGTGTTACCAGAGCTGGGCCATTCTGCTCTTTGGCTAATACTGCTGGCAGCGTGAACCGTGCAGATTGAGAGAGGGAAATGTTGATCCCAAAAAGGTCCAGTGTAGCAAATTGAGATGTGAATTAGTTGCCTCCCTGTTTCTGAGGCAACACATTCCTTAGCTGCTCCCTCCAGCAAGGGGGACTATGAGGAATGTGCAGCTAGATAGTTTTTTTAATCTGTACTTTTCAGAAGACTGAATTACTCAAATACAAACTGCTCTTTGATTTGTGTGTCTCCATGTTCAGCACACAGAAATGAAGTACAGGAATGGGAAAGTGACAATACTCATTATCTATAGATAACTTTTTGGCACCAAAATATTATTCACAACTAGAAAGTGCTGAGGTGCTAGCATAGAGTGATGCAGTAGGAACAGGGTTCTCTGCAGGAAAAGCTATGTTTATTCTGTTCTTCATGCTGGTCACCATGTTGGCAGGCACATCAATACTCCAGCATATGGTTTTGAGTAGGGACTGCCAAAACACCACACACAGAGGGTTGCTCTTCATGGGAGGATTTCAACTGGGATGTCTTGAGAGGTCAGGGTACCAGCTGAAATGCCACAGGACATACCCAGAGCAGAAGTAATTGTAAGGATAAGCCAGTTCAGGACTTGTCACCTCTGAACAGAAAAACAGAAATGAGAATGCAACTCTCCTTTCTCGGAGAAGACTCCAAGGAGTAACCAAATAGCCACCAAACACCTGAGACTCAGCTCAGTTTTCCTCTGACTAGGTCACAAGTGCCTTGGTAGCTTGGGAATTCAGTGTGGCCAATGGCCACAACACAGATCTTCTGAACTTACACTTGCAGGGACTGAGGCCATTTGCACTTTTAAGTGGAGTTTCAATGGGGTAAGTTTAGTCAGCCTGAAAACAACAAATACAACTGCAAAATCTGAGCAAGAACAGTCAGTAAGGTCTTGTTTCAGGAATGCCACTGAATAAATTTTATGCTCAGTTAAATGTTACTTCAGTTCTTCCCTGTATCAGGACTGAATACCAAAACCACCAGACTTCAGGGATTATGAGAGGTTGATTTTACTGGGATACAGTATCTCCTTTGTGCAAGCTGCTTTTTTATTTATTACTACATCAATACACTTGAAAAGAAGAGAAGGGCTACACTGGAAAACATTTAAATGCATTCTGATCTCTCTGAACCAGCAGTAACCTGCAGTTGATGCCACAGCTGTAGCATTTTCAAACTGCTCAGACACCCAACTCAAACCAAAAGCACTCAGCACTTTTAAATTCCTGAACAGACCCACTCTTTGTGGTTTGCATATAAACCTGAGAAAAATAATAGTCTTAATGCTGAAAGATGATGCTTTCGGTAATGGAATACGCTAATCTGAAGTCAAATAGCTGCTGCAGAAGTACAGTTACCTTCGTAAGTACACGGAACATTTTAAATTATGAAGATCTGTACTGCATATAGTAGAGAATAAGTAAGTTTGAACAACATGCATGACAAATGTAAAAAGTATTACTTGATGACCTACAGTTTTAAACTGCCCAAGACATTCAAAAGCAATCAGATGCTCACAGTCTCCACCCTCATCTCTTTGCTAAGAGATATTCTCATTACTGGTAAATAAAATTTTAAAACCCTGGTTTTACACAACTGAACTGATGCCAAATCTAGGACATTTTAATATTTGTTTTGCATTTTTTCTCCCATTTGTGAGTTCTGCTGATTCAGTATTTTTATACTAAAATACAAATATCATTTGCTGATATAAAAGGCATTTTAGCATATTTCCTATGTATAGAGGTTTTAAGTCCAGGTAAAAATAAATCAGCTATAAATTAGTGTATTTCACATACAAAAATTCTCATTATGCTAACATTTCAGTTCATAAACTAGTCACAAAGAAGAGGCACTTAAAAAATCCACACTTGGCCAAAAATAATACCCATAATTTTTTAATTACTAGAAAATTCTACCAGCACTTCTGCTTGTAACATGATTATGAGACCAATATGCACAGTGATCATTGGGTATTATCAGCTGGAAGTAGAAACAGAAAACAGTTTCAATATTTCTTGTTGCTTATTCCCCTTATTTCAAGGAAAGGCACAGCGGTTACCTCAAGACAACATTTGATGCTTTCCTGCAGAATAAGCCCCAGCACCCTCTTGTGCTTTTGAAACAGTTTGTTGAACCATTTGTACCACTTGCACATTCCTACATGGGAAAACCCCCACTCCCATGTGCTGCAGGTGAAGCTGAGAACTGGTGTTAAGCGCTACTCATCAGACACTAACTTTTAGGAACTGTTTCTTTGGTCACATGTTGTTTAATCATGAAACGTGATGGTCCAGAGTGGAGAGTATTTTATTCATCCTGAGCCTTGGCAACCTTTCCACACCTGGCCACATGTGTTGATGCAAAACCCAATCCTATTTGTCCCTGAGCCAATAACATTGTCCCAGCAGTGCTGGCTGTTTCGAGAGGCAGTCAATATCCATGTGAAGCCATGTTAATTATTTCCCTGAATATCCAGGGTATGGAGGGGGTGGGGGATACTGTATCACAGTCTGTGGGGCTGGACTATAGTGTGGAGGTAGGTCAGCTGGGTACTCCATTTCATATTCATTACTGTATGGTGGTGGAGACACTGAAATAGGAGAAAAAAGAACACAGAGTTAAAAAACTGTTTTTCAGATGCAGCCTTCAAGTATTTTCTTGCTGATATCCAGACTTGCATGCAACTGATATAAAACCTCCTGGCAATTCATTCATTTTGTTTCAGGCTGCCATTATACAGTCAATTTATATCAATGTGAGTCATTGTTTATTGCCTTTTACTTCACTCCTTAGCTGTGTGCCTACCAACAGGCTGTACCAGTAACAGTGCTTGAATGCCTGTATGGCAGATGGTAGAGCTAAACATGTTCAGGGGAGAAAGGCTGAGTTTATCAGATCCATTCCCTTCCACTCCTTCAGCAGCAACAGGGATTTATGTCATGTCAAAATTATGGCAGTCTTGATCTCCACAGACACCTCGAACACCCTCTGGATCTCCAGGTGCCACACCATGGCAAGCACAGCAGCATCACACTTCCTAGGGCAAGACATCTTAGCACAGCTTGGGCTGAGGAAGAACAAAGCTTTCACCTTGTTCACACCAATGGGGACATCTGAGGAGAGCCCAGCATTCATAAACTGGATTAGGCATTTAGGAGGCAACAAAAATGTTCAGAAGTAACTGAAAATTTTTTCTCAATTACTTCTAATAACTTTAAAGAAAAAGGATTCGTTCACTGACAAAAAAGACAGTGAATGCTGCAGAATGATAGCACATAAGAACTAAAGGTTCTGTATCAGCATCTAAATAGAGTATTCTCTACAAATTTTAAGGTCCAGAGTCTGCTCATGTCTCCATTTATGTCACCACAGATCCTCTCCTGTCCCCTCCGTATATGTCTCAAGCAGACTGGCAAGAAAACAGTACTAGCAGAGTGGAAACAGAAACCTAGGATGTTTGTGATGGGGGAAGAGACTCAAATCCCACCGTGCCATGAAAAGCATGCTCTGCTCTATTGAACACTACGTTGCTGCTGTGGCTGAGGCAGAAACAAGAGCATCCTCACACTTGCTGTTCCTGTCCAAAACAGGTAATGGCAGGGGCAGTGCTGGCCACAAGCCATGCAACCAAACCAGGCCAGTCATTATTCCAGAAGTGTTCATGACAGCAGGGAACACAGAAAACATTTCCAAGCTTCCCCATCCTCCAAAACCTGCTGCTGCTTCTGAGAGGAAGAACTGCTCAAACTGATGCTTGAACAGAGGCCTTGAGGTGTAGAGTCAAACTGCCTACAGATTGAGAGATAAGGGTGTGTCATTGCAGGAGTAGACTTGGGGAGGAAAAGGTTACAGGCCTGGAGTTTTCATTTTGCTCTTGTTTTTACAGCTTGCAGCAACTATTCATTTCTGAAGTAGCTCTTCAGCAATTCATGATTGAGAATATTGCCATTTTCTTTCATACTCATCTCTGTACACAAAATAATGTTGAAATTATAAGGTTGATTACAGATGCTTTCAATCTAACTGGAACCTAATGCTGTGAGGGAGAAAACAGACATTAGGGCTGGTATAATAAAGGAATAAATAAAAAGTATTGCATAGCTCATTGATAAGTATATATAATGCACCTGAGGTTTGCTGCAACCTTTGTAACAGGAGGGAATATAAAAGTAGGGATATCTAGGAGTGGGATGACAAGACTTCATGCATGGAACACCTCTGCGTTTTATTACAATGAACTCCCAAAGTTATCCCAAGGCAATTGCTCCTGAATTTGTAATTAACAGTGTCACTGAATTGCATAAACACCATTATGCTGCATCCCAGGTCTGCTTTTCTCTTTAACGATGCGGCCATCTTCATATGGTAGATGTGGAATTGAGGCAAATGTGCCTTGCAGATCCCAGCTGGCTTAGTGCCACCTCTTTGGTGCTCCTAGAATGGTGCAAGTTGACAAGTGTGGTGCAGTGGGTGACTCTACACCAAGCTGGCTCATACAAAGCTGTATGCACCAGCTGACACCCATTTTGGACACAACTGCACTGCCCCAGAGGCACAAGGGGTCCCTAGTGTCCCCTGGGATGCTGCAGGCCCTGTGACACCTCTTGCTTAGATCCTGTGCCTTCCTGCTGCTGCCTGCACCTAAAAAAAAATTACATCAAAACAATTTTAATTCACAGAGAAGCCGGCACTGAGCACGTCCAACACTCGGCTAACTTTGACTGAGGCACAAACAGGTTCCTCAGCACCATGTTCCCGCCTGAGACTGGCGGGGGGGGGGGGGGGAA